ATTAGTTCATTATCAAATATTGTAATTTCTATAGCTATATTTTATTTACATTGTTATTATGGGTTTTTTTTACTAGAATAAAGTCAGTAACACCCAAAATTGATTTTCTACTTTCTGATAACCCAGAGTACCACAGTGTGGGTGATTAATAATTATTGATGAGTAACAGAATGAATGAAATTTCCTCCATATCCCATTAGATAATAAAAGGGAAGAATTTTTATCAATATACTGGAGAAGCAAGGAAATACAAAATAAAACCAGAAAATTTCTCATCTTCAAAATCTGCAAGATAAATACCATCATAAAATTGAGGAGGGGGTGAAGTAAACATTTTCATACATGTCTAGAGAGAGTGTAAGTTGGTCGACTCTGTAGAAGGCAGTGTGCTTATTTTTTACAAAGAAGTTCAAGTATTTCTTTCTCAGTACCCACCATTTTAATTTGTAGCAGTTCGACCTAAAAAAGTAGAGACGTGCTCAAAAAGGTGAAAAGATTTATTTCCACTAATAAAAGGTGAAACCAAAGGAAGTGACTAAGTACATTATGATAGAATGTCTTGTACAAATCATGTTTTTGAATAATTTGCACAAAAAGGTTTCTCATAAGACATTAATGTTTCTTACTTTTGAAAAGATATTAATGCTTTTAAAAGGCAATGTAAAATAGCTACATTGTATTATTATTTCAACTTTATAAAACATGAAAACTGATTAGTGACTGAGAGTACAGAACTCAAGTCATGTAGACTCAGTGTGAATACTGACTTTGCCATTTAGTTATTAAAGACATGCCATTCTACAAATTATTTCATTTACCTAAGTTTCCATTTTTATTCTGTGAAATTCACATAATAGTAGTAGCAACTACCTTAGAATGTTATGAGGATTAAATGAGAAAATGAGTTATTACTAGTGTAAAAATAATTGAGGGGAAACAAGAAAACATTCACTTAATTTTTCTCTTTGTGATGCCATATAGGTGCCTTTCTCCTTTAAAATTGCATATAATATTTTCTCATTTATCCATAATGAAACTATTAGTTCATAATCCAAAATAGATATTGTTAATAAAAATAACACTAAATTATCGCTTAAATGACTAAAAACATTTTTAATGTTTTAGATAAGTACATTCAGATTTATAGCTTATAATTTATTTTTTAATATATTAAACACCAATAGAGAAAACACATTCATCAAATTTGGTTTGTCAAAGAAATAACAGTCAATTCATTAAACACGTAACATTCTCCCTTGTGAGAGTTTAGCTCCCTCACAATGTCACTTACTTAGAGCAAAGGTGAAAATCAGGAAGAACCTTCAGAACAACATAAGCCCTGAAGCAGCAGAGCAAATGGTACAGAATCTGTGTGCTAAACCACATGTCTTTCTCAGTTAAAAAGGCCCTTGAGTCTTCTCTCGGTGGCCTTGCTGGTCTGTGGCTGGTTTGTGGGAACTCTCTCCACGTCACTGTGCAAGCAAGGACCCGAGGGGCTTCCTGGACTTGCTCTTCTTCTGGTCTTGCACATCCTACAACCAAGTCTTCTCCATTCTGCCCTTAAATGAAGCAGGAGGTCAGAGAAAAATTCAAACCGCCTTTGTCTCTCACTTGGTGTATTGGATGTTTCTGAACTGATCTCCTGTCTAGTCTTCATCTCTTCCACGTGGCCCCCTTTCCCACGTCCTGCCCCTTCACCGCTTGCTAGCTGAAATGCATCTGGACTCGCCATTGCTCTGGAGACCAAACTGCAGGCAGGGACCACCTCAGAGCCCTGCCTGGTGTGGCCTCTGCCTGCCCCTCCAGCTTCATCTGTCCTCTCTGTCATGTAAGCAAGCTCAGCTGACACCACAGCAGAAACGACTTCCCAGTTCCTACATTTCTCTCACTTGCTAGCCTGTCGGCCATTCCCAAGCCAGACCTCTGACTTGAACACACACTCTTCTGTCCTGCCTTTTTACCTGTGAGCCTTTAAGCTGCCTATCCTTTGGGGCCCAGCTTAGGAATCCTGTCTGAAAGTCTTTGGTGATCACCTGGCAGGAGTCCTGCCATCCCCTGCTTCACATGGGCTGTTTCTCTGATCACAGAATGGGGGAAAAGGTACAGGGAATAAGAAGCATAGATGCTAGGTACAAAATAGACAGGAGGAGGTTAAGAATAGTATGGGAAATGGAGAAACCAAAAAACATATGTATGTTACAACCCATGGACATGAACTAAGGTGGGGGAGTGTAGGGTAGAGGGAAATAGAGGCAAGAAAGAGTGGGACAACTGTCACAGTATAATCAATAAAATATATTTTTAAAAAAGAAGGAGTTAAAGGAAAGAGGTAATAAGAGCTTTATCCATTCTATTTGAGGTTATCATTATACTTAAAGTTAACAGTTGCTTAGCTCCTTTTTCAATCACGTGAATATTGATGTGAAATACAAAACATGCTCTGGAACAAACAGAAGAGCTCACAAATGGAGTGATAACTGGTTGTCATTTTCAAAGATTACAACCCCTGGGCAGGAAGGTGAAAGGGCTCTCACATATTCACTTACTGGGTGCGTCACCTGCAGCTGGAGCAAACTGTTCCGAGTGCACGGACGTGCCTGCATGTATATGCAGAGCATCATCATAATACAGCAGTGACTGCGAATCATGACATTTTGAAATGTACTTTTCTTGGTGAAAATTTAAAATATTTTTGTTTTATTAGTTTTTACCTTGCTGTGGAAAAAATGTGAGCATTTAGAAGATACTACTTTGGAGTACTTAAAATGGAAATCATTAATGTTTACATTTTATTGACCAGTTAATGAAATATTTTATCCCATTTTCAAAAAGTCGTCCTTCTTTTACAGGTGGAATAGAAGAAATTTTGGATTACAAAGCAATTATTTATAGAGTTGAGGATGTTAGTCTGTTTGGTAAGTAAGCTATTTGGAGAAATCCCCTTCCAGATTTGGATGCATATGAATTAGTACACTATTACAAAAACTAACTGTTCCAAAAGAAATGAGGAGCAGTCTCTCAATATTCACACCTGATGATTTATACATTTCACACTAAATAACACATTATCCATAATTTTTGGCATATAAAAATCACTAAATGTTAATGTAAGTAGCAAGTCAAAGTTTTCTAATTTTAATCTTGAAAATAATTTATTATATTATGCAATTAAATATTTTTATCTATTCTGTCTCTGCATTGTACATCTGTTAAAGACTCTAATTCATATTTTGAAACCAGTTAATTTGATAAAAATGCTTTCAGGTAAAAGGGGAATTCCACTCAAATTAAAATTTATTTCCTGGTGGTTTCCTTGATATCCCTTTGCGTTACCACTATGAGAAGATAAGATTTTTGGAAGATGGTAATTGCTTACATACACCAAGATGCAATATGCTTTGATAGTGTTCTTGTTGCTATCTCATGGCTCTTGTAACTTGTTCCAAGTACATTTGACAACATTGGAAGAGACAGTAAACCTGACGTTATTATTTTTATTAAGCTCCCACATGCAGTATTAATGGTATCCTGAATTATCCATAAAAGGATGGTTATGCCCCTCTGGGAGGGCGCTCAGAGGAGCTTAGCAATTGGTTTGCTCATGTTCTTTGATTGAAGTGAATTTTTTAACATCTACTATTTGCAGGCTATTGAGGGAGGGGCTTCATCAGAGCCACTGGTGCCATATACCACCCTCCCCGAGAACAGCATGGTGTTCCCATGGATTCCCTCAGCGTGTTGTTCTGTCTGCATCCTGGCTCTTACCTCAAAAGCAGAACCAACAGGCTCTCTGGCTGGCAGGGCACACAAGCTATTCTGCCCTCCACTCCCCTTCTGTCTCCTGTCTTCCCACCCTGCTATCAGTGCACCAGCTTCCTCCCTCCTCTTTTACAGAAACATGAAATCCTCACGCCTAGCAACTCACCCACTAGACACCTAATGTTTCAGGATGCTCAGCAGGGACACCTAAGGCTATGCAGCTCGTAAGTGGTAGAACCCGAATTCAGATCCTAGTCTGTCCACAGTTTGTTCCATGATAACGTGGAGATTTCTATTAGGTATATATTTTAGAGCACATATGAAACATGTTTCAGTTTTATTTGAATGGTTGTAGGTATGATCTGTTTGAGCTAAATAAGTTAAGTCCTCCTAAAATTAAGCAATTCCATTTTGAGAGTTCTTGGACTAAATCTATTCAAATCTAGAAAATTGCCCAGTGCCCAATAAACTGAAGGCCCCCATGTTCATCCCTGGCCATGTTTTTAACATTAATTTTTTTAAATTAAGGAAACAGATACTTACTTACTTACTTAATTAATGAATTAATTTTTAGAGACGGGGGAAGAGAGGGAGAAAGACAGGGGAGAAACATCGATGTGAGAGAAAAACATTGATCGGTTGCCTCTCACACACACCCCAAGCAGGGACTGGGCCCGTACTGCAGGCATGTGCCCTGACCAGAAACTGAACCAGCTACCTTTCACCTTTGAGATGATTCTCTACCAACTGAGGCACACTGGTCATGGCAAGAAGGCAGATATTTTATGGTACTTTTTTCTTGTCTTATAAAAATGGTACCCATGAATCAACACACAGTGCAAATGGGAACACATGGATGTGGAGTGTTTTACACCATAACATCGTTCATGGACACCTCAAAAACACAACTTGCCTAGACGGAAAAATCAGACACCAGTGGGACTAAAGAGTAAGTTTATTTTGCATCAATTATACATCCTTCATTATTTTACATTCCTTTAAAAAACTCAAAAACTGAGTTTGTTCTTTTCTCTAAAAGAGTGATCAACCTGTATAAAGTAACTCTCAACAATACACTTTAAACAGTACACTGTATACTTAAGAAAAAATACATAAACCAATAGTCAACTAAAATCCATAATTTCCTGGTTTTGTTCTGTTTTATTTTACTTTTTCCAATGTGTGGGGCCTACACTTTGCAATGGACCTGACACGGAAAACACAGATCAAGACACACGCCCCTGAGCCAGGTCGGCATCGGGAGCCGTGAAGTCCCATCGGGAACACCGCGCCACCGGGCCCTTCACAGAACAGAACGATGGGAGATCCCCCAAATGACGTGGCAATCCTGTGAGTGATGGTAGGTTTTGTTTTTTGTTCTAGAAAGCATCACTGAAAAAGCCTGTCAGCCACACGCTAAATGATTCTCACCCTTTGACATAGTCACTCTATGGTCAGATGGGGGCTAAGGGTTCGGAATAGAGCTGCACCTTATAGAATTCATTGAAAAAGGGATGTTTATTGTGGCTTTTTGTCTTGGTTAAGTGCCCTGGGGTAAGAGAGGGGAAAACAAAATGCTGTTCATTGTGGATATACCCGTCCATTCCCCAGGCGTCTGATCCGTCTCTGAAACAAGCTGGCAGCCAGAACAACATGTGTCCCATCTACATGGTGGGGACCTGCGGGCTTTGGCAAAAGAGAAAAGCCCAAGTGTTAAATACTGACCTAGGAGTCCCGCTTCTGCTTAGAAGGGGCAGTTCTACTCGGACTCCAGTCCAGTTTCTTCACCTGTGATATGGGGTAGTTAATTGTATCTACTTCATAAGATTTTTGCAAGGAGAAAATGAAAAAGCATCTTTACGGTGCATACTATGTTACAACAATGGTAACTATTATTACATTTGTTTTAAAAATTGCAGGAATTATGAACTGAGAATTCCCTACAAGAGGTAAAAATGAATGCAGCTTCCCCAGTAAACTCCAGAGGGTCACATCCTGCTTTCCTTTCCTAGTCCTTGCAGAGAGCCTACCTTTGCAAATATCTACATGTGTATTGCATGTGTGTGCATTACGTGTGCGAACATGTCTCTCCTCCCACACCATGCCTCCCACCCCAGAGGAGGTCGGAGGAGGGGAGTGGTCACTGAGGGTGAGGAGGCTGTGATTACAAATGAAGTTGGTGAGTGGAGAGGCTGTATTATTTGAACATGTTCCCTTAAGCTAGCACCAAGAATTGCTACAAAGAAGAGAGGGCGTGGTGTCCCTCCGTCACCTGCGGTCCGTGCAGTACAGCTCCTGCAGGAAGGACGCGCCCATTTCTAGGCTTATCTGTGTGTTCAGTAGAATTGCATGTCTTTGGAACTGGGTTTATTTGAGAATATGGGGATTCAAGCTGTGTGGGACACTGCGGTTTTTTTCTTTGGCTTGGGAGAGAATAAATACTATGGGCTTTGGCTTGGATATGGGCCTAATGTTGTCTCAGTTAAAAACAAAACCATGTAAATAACCAAAACTTAGGTAGAGCGCTTACCAGTCTTTTATTGAAATGCTGATGGACTTTGGCCCTAACCATCAGTATGTGCTGAGGCTGAACGCAGCCCTTTCCCCTTCCTGACCCCACTGTCTTCCCTAAAGCCCTCTCAGCCGGACTCCCTGCTGTTGGCTGTGCTCTTTTGGTCTGTTGTGTGGCGAGTTTCCCTGTGAATTTTCCATCTCTGGTGGCAAGCACTTGTGTCCCCCCAGGTTCGGACAGACCTGCTCCATCTGCATGGTGGGTCTGAGTTAGAGGTTGCAGTCTGATGCAAGAGAAATGTATCCCACACAAATGTTGCTAACGCTAGCAGCGATTGGTATAACATTTCTGGAAGGTGCAGAGTCTTTTAGTCCTTGTACTTTGATGCTAACCTTCAACATGAAAAACTCAGGTTTAGCATCCGAACGATCCAGCAGATTATCATCTGAAATGACATTTGACCGCCAGATGTACGTAGCCATATGAGAGGGATATATAAATTTATATAGAAGTTAGAGTAAGCCTTCGTAAACATTTTGTGATTGAATAAATGAGTTGAATTTTGCAATCTAGAACAGCAGTCAGAAAGCTGATTGAGACAGGTCCAAGTTTAATATAATAGGATGATTTTCAACTTTCATCTTCACAGCACACAAAAACTAATTACTAAAATTCTGTGGCATACCGGAAACATTTTTGCCGATCTGACAAAAAATAGGTATAATTTTGATTCATTCACACTGGATGGCTGTTATTTTTTAATTTGACAATCTTAAGGGAAAAGAGGTCAGTGCCCCTGACTAAATAGTAGGGCATTGCATGTTTTAAAAATCGCTGTTGTAGGGGGATGTGTTACGGCAGAGCAGCCCTGGCAGAGGGAACAGCATGTTCAGAGCAACAGAGGAGTCAGTGAGGGTGAGGCTGGGGTCCTGGCTGGGGTGGGGGGCGGGCAGAGTGTGCACTTGGCGCTTCGCTTTAAAAACCCTAACACCTGTGGTGGAGTGTGTTTGTTTGTTTTGTTTTCTTAAACTTTTAAATGCTGGGACCAACACTTTTTACAAAATCCAATAATAGTGAATTACTAGAAAAATGATCATGTGATATTGAAACCGGAAAAGACGATGGCGTTCAGGCTGCCTGTCACGTACCAAGCTCGTTAAGCAGAGACAGGGATTGAATCTTTATGGGCATTTTATTCTGATGGCCGGCAATCTGAGAAGATGGTGTTCACACCCTAATGGACATCTTACGTTTTCTTTCCAAGCCAACATTTTTATAGCAGGGAATAAACAAGGTGTGGTGAGGGGTTTTGAAATTCAGGGAGAATTCTGTGAAAGAAGACTGCAGCATTCCACCCTGGGCAGTTAGCTATTCCCAGGGGTGGGTGGTCTTCTGTCTCTCCCTGGAACACAATGGCCCGGATGCCTCCACTTGTCCCCAGGCAGTGGTCTGTAGCAGTGCCCCAGGAGGTCAGCTGTCTCTCCCTGGAGCCAGGGTGGGCCTCATCTGTAGTTTCTGAAACAGCAACTTTAACATATGCATTACTTACTAGGCTAATAACTATTTACCTTAAAGTAAAATTTTCCAACTCTTGAGTCCCCTATTGATATAAATGCCTCTAATTTCTCAATTTCCATTTCTTTACATATCTCATCATGGACCAGCAGAAGGCAGTTCGCTGACTGCCCAGCACGACAAAGAGCACTAGTCGGAGAACGGTCAGAGAGGAAACTCGAAAGAGGGTGGAGCTAGAATGTCAAGAAGCTTGTACATGATTATTAAAGAATTCCAAACTTGTTGTGCTCAAAATTAGCATAAATTATCTTCCTGAATTTATTTGCATTGCAGGTTAAGTTGCCTAAAACTTTTGTGCTGAATAGTTGTTTGATAAAACATATTTAAAAATTGATTGCAGTTTTGTAGATATGGGTTAGTGTCCCATAAGTTGCTTAGAACCTTTTTTTAAAAAATAACCTCCTTTGTGGAAATTGGGTTTGTTTGGGTAAAGGGACCCTTTACATCCCCCAGGTTTTCTCTCCCCTCTTCTCTCTCTTGCGTCTGTTACCATCCGAGCTGACAGGATTGTCCAGCAGGGGTCTCGGGAGACCAGGACTGATCTGTGAGCCCTCCTGCCTTTTATTGTCCTGAGCTCTTATAGTGTCTTTACAGTCCCTGGTTTCAAGATGCTTCGCATGTACAGGGCCACACTGGGCCGGCTGGGCTCAGCCTCCCCGGGGAGCTAGCTTCACTGCAGCCCGTGAGGACCCTGACTGCCCGGGAGAGGAGGCAGCTCTGGCTCCGGGCACATCCAAGGGATCACCAGCCTGGGACTGGTGGGCCAGTCACAATAAGGTGAATATTTCATTTAAAAAATGTCTGAGTAAAATGACCCTGCAAATGAAAATTAAGGAGCCTCTGAGTGAAAATAAAATGTTTGCTGGTATCCCTTAAATACCACAAGACAGTATTCCTTTACTTTGGTTATAATGAGATTTCTAGTTAGAATCCTTTCTAGAGTCCAGGATGCAACCAGTGACTGTGACCTTCGTTCCATTCCAAGTTTTCTCCAACTGAAGGAGAGAAAGGCTGCTCTTATAGGGGGTCGATATCTTTCAGTCACTCTGTGCTTTCCTGCACGGTAGACCCTCATTCTGGGACTGGGGTACAAGGCCAGCTAGATGTCTCTGCCTTTTGGCTCCTAAGGCCCACCTCCAGGAAGTGCTCACCGAGTGACATTTGTTCTGGAGGGTTCACCTGGCCAGCCAGGTGCGAAGCCCTTCACGTCTATCATTCCCTTTCCTCTGCCCTGTAATCTTGTGATACAGGTTAGACCCTCATTTTCATTTCGAAGGTACGCATATGCTTTTTCCCTGAACCCTTTGAAAATATGTGGCAGACATCATGACACTTGATGACTAACTGCTCTGTGTGCATATAATATCACCTTCCTGAATAGACATCCTTTTTTGCACCTTAGAAATTCATAATTCAATGATATCATCTCACAGTCCATTTCAAATTCCCTACTGTCCCAAATGGCTTTCACGGTCTTTTATTTTAACTGAGGCTTAGTTAAGCATTCTTCCACTCACTGTTTCATTTTTTAGTTTTTTGAATCTAAAACAGCAGCCTCTCCTTTGATTTGTGTTTGTTTCATTGACATTGAGTCTTTATGAAGAGTCCAGGCCAGGTGACTGGTAGAATGTCCTGCTTCTAGGTGTAATTAGTCTGTTTTTTTGCCTTGTGATAATTCAGGTCATACTTTTGATAGAAATATTCCATAAGTGATATACATTCTTTGCATTATATCACATCAAAGACACAAAAATCAGTTCTCACAGGACTGAGGTGCTTGCTACCAGACCTCTCCACTGCAAAAGTGCCTTTCTTCCTGTTTTCTCACTGAGTCATTGGTGGGATGCTAGCGATTCCTGATTCTCAGAAGCCTTTCAACAGAGGACAGGAGCATTCATTGAATATTTTTGCCTGAATTGATTTTTCCATGGAGGTCTACAAAGTGATGATTTTCTGATTTTATCACTCTTCTATTTCCTGATATTCTTTTATAGAAAAGAGATTTTCCTTAGTTTCTCCCTTCCCTCTTGCTCTTTCAAGTATTATTATGGGTACATAATTTCTAATTATCCCAAATCTGAGACAGTGAAAATCCCCTTAGAGGACTGCTATGACCTTTGCACATGGACCCTTTTATCTCCGAGCTTTCTGGCTGCGTGGAACAGCAGACGGTCCTAGCCTCACCTCATGCTTTCTCTTCCCCACGCCTGGAATCAGCCCTTTCATCAAGGAACCTGATTTCATTTAGTTTATAGAAACCAAGATCTCTTATCTGCCTTTAGGTGTGTTTATGTTACTGCGATATTGTTGTTCTTAGCCCTTTTAGTGGATAGACCAGAGAGATATCCAGATACAAACACACACACACAAACACACACACACAATTTGGTTGTGAGTTAATACTGATGTTAACATTAAATAATTGTTAGATAACAAATAAATTAACAATGCAACTTTTTTACCTTTAAAATTTTATATTTGCATCCATTTTCTCCAGCAGTGAAAATGTTAATTTCTTATAAAGTGAATGCATGTTGCTTGCTCTATCCCAAATTATACATAAAATAATTTTGGAATCATAATGCTAATGTACTGGCTCTCCTTAACATCCTGCTAAGAGCAGATGAAAGGCAGCTCATTATAAATGAGGCTGATGAAGTGGCTTGTTGCCCCCATCAGGAGAATCCCAGCAGGACCTCCGACACAACCAGTGCAACTCCCTTGACAGAACCCATGTGAGGCCTGAATGGTCAGGACATAGGCTCCCTAGAACATTAAAAAAGGTGCTTATTAGGAAGGGGATGCCCAAGTTAAAGAGCCTGTATATAATACAGTCTGTTAAACAGAAACCAAACAAAGACCATTCTAAATTTTTAGAAAGGATCTATCAGACCTATTGAAAGCACACTGATGCTGACCCAAGCACCAGAAAACGTCCAGATGGTAGATATGACTTTTATTAGGCAAAGTGCCCCAAATATCAGAAGGAAGCTCCAACACTTAGGGTGGTGGGAATGAATCTCCCAGGTGGCAGACATAGCCTTTAAAGTTTACCGTGCCCAGGAAACAAGGAAATTGAAGCAGGACCCGGTTTTCTCAGAAACAGTGCAGGTAAACCAAAAGGAGAGGCAGGACTTGAAGGGAAGGAGGAAAGACCCACTGGGCACCAGTCAATGTGCCTATGCAAAGAGGAGGCCCTTGGAGAAAGGACTGCCTGAGACTCAAAACGAAAACTAGAGAGGATGGAAATCCTCACTGAAAAATTGTAGCAGGGAGGGTACTGGCTGATGTCAGGGAGCACGGGGAAATATCAAGCTATTTTATCGGACAACCTAAATGTTACCTTACAAATCACCACCACCTTAAACCCAGCCACACTACTCCTGGACTCAGAGAGAAGCCCGGACCTCCAGCATGATTACTTGGAAATCACTGGCCAATTTTATTCCAGCAGACTGTGTCTGTTGGACTAGCTGCAGACAGAACCTGACTGGGTGTGGTGTACAGAAGGAGCAGCTTCATGGAGGATGGTCAGCGATGAGCTGGTATGAGGCAATCACCAGAGACAAGGTCACAGAAATGCAGCCCTTCACCATAGGAAGCTCAGCACAAAAGGCCAGACTGACAGCCCTCACCGGAGCTTTAGAATTGTCCTCGGGGAAGAATGTCAACATCTATACTGACTCTAAGTATGCCTTCCTGGCAGTCCATGCCCATGGGGCAATATGGAAGGAAAGAGGGCTCTTAACTTTGGGGAATCAGGACATTGAACATGAAAAAGAGATTTTACAATTGCTAGAGGCAGTGAATCTACCAAGCCAGATTTCCATAATGCACTGCCCAGGACATAAGAACAGTTTCCAAGTGAACCAGGGAAACCAAACTGCTGATAAAGCAGCAAGACAAGCTGCCCAAGGGCCACCACTCCTTGGGGCTTTGATTTCCCAACTGGAGCTGTCATAATTTAAACCCCATTATGCATAATGAAATGAGGAATGGCCCATGAATGGGGTTCTCTAACACCAACCCTAATTCTATGTGGAAGATCAACACCCATGGTATGATCTTACTCCCCAAGGCTCTAGTGTATCCCATCCTCAAACACCTACACAGCAGGGCCCCAGTATGGAAGGGATGTTTTAGTGGCCCTCATTGGGCCACATTGGAAGGACCATTTACAAAGGACCCCCATTTACAAAGGACCATTCAGATTATCCAAGCCTATCAGATACACAACCCCAAACAATCCTAAAACAATGTGCAGCAACAGGAAAGGGAGTACAATATAAAGGGATATACCCATTTGAGGACTAGCAAGCTGACTATACACAGATGCCTAAAACCATAGGAAACATTAAATTTTTATTAGTTTCTGTAGATGCATTTTTTGGATAGGTAGAGGCATATCTGACCAGAACTGAGAAGGCAACTGAGGTAGCAAAACGTCTACTCAAAGAAATAACCCCTAGGTTTGGACTTCCTTACAGCATTCATAGCAACAATGGACCATCATTCATTTCAGAAATCTCCCAGAAGACAGGAGGGGCACTACAGAATCAGTGGAGACTACATGCATCTTGGAGACCTCCATCTACTGGGAAGACTTAGGAAATTAACCACACAACAAAGGAAGACCCTGTCGAAAGTGTGCCAGGAGCGCATCTGAAATGGGACCCAGACCTTCCTATTGCCTAGCTCTGGACTAGGATAGCTCCCTGAAGTGAACTTAAATTAAGCCCATTTGAACTTGTTTATAGAAGACCCTTTCAAATTTCTGTTTTAGGGACACCCTGTTTATATTTAGAACATGAATCAAAAAGCAAATAATATGTATAACATCTAGGGCAAATACAATTTTACACAAGTTTGTTTATCTACCCATCTGATGAGCCCTTATATCTGTTCTAGCCAGGAGACCGAGTCTTAGTAAAGACCTGGAGGACTCAAGGTCCTGACCAGCAGTGAGCTGAGCAATGGACTGGTCCCTATGACATCCTGCTGACAATGCGCTCTTCCCTAACACTCACAGGAATCAAGCCTTGGATCCAGCTTTATCCACGTGTGCTTGGATCCAGCACACGTGGATAAAGCAGGTACCGCCTGAGGAAGATTGGATCTGGCTGCTGCTGTTGATACCGCAAGGGAAATCTGCACCTGCACTCCTGAAGGAGATTTGAAATTCCTCTTTCAGAAAGGGACAGCACCTCCCAATGCTAAGTGACAGTGTTACTTTTTAATTTATTCTGCTTTTCCCAGACAGTGGATTCCTCGGCAAATTTATTCTGCTATCAGGTGGGCCACTCAAAGCCTCTCTCAGGGTTAGGTCATGGGGATCCTTTAGTTTCTCCTGTTTTCTGATCTTCTACAATCTCCTGCACCACTAGGCATACCCCCCAGTAAACACCTGTTTGTTCGTCTGCACAGGTCTCACCGTATAAGCCCATCTACAACACCACTACCAGCTTCGCTTGTTCAGTGGGACCATCCTCTACACACCACCTATGCTGCTCTCTGAAGACACTTCTTCCTCACCTGTGGGCTTCCTTCTGGATCTGAACCCCCTTCCTTCCTTTGTTACATAGTAAGAATCTCCAGACCCGGAGATAGGTAAGACTATGTCCCTCGATAGCAGGAAGTAACTACAGAAGATGAAACCTTCATACATTTCCCCTTTTAAGATTACAAGGGTCCAGAGTTTGAGCAGGGGGAGTTGTGTAGATAGTCCACAGGAGCACCGGGGACTCTGTGCCTTGGCCAAGATGGCAACAGGGCAAGGTTCTTACACTGCATGGTGGAAAGCTAGAAATATGAATGGGCTGGGCCTGAGCACACCAAAAACTAGAAATATGAATGGACAGGGCCCCAGTACATCAAAAGTTAGAAAGATAATTGGATAGCAAAAAAAGTCCTCCCCTCCCTATCCCTACAACAACCTCAGGCTTGATCAGGAGATGAGATGGTCTTTGAGAGGGGAGTCCAGTATTATCCCAGGTTGCATGGCACCTAAATAAAATCTCTTTCCTTTTGCACCATCACCTGCCTCATGAACTTGGCTTTTGTTGCAGCAGGTGAACCTCCATTTTGTTTGGTTGTGCCAATATCATTTTGTGCAACGGGTGAATGAATCATTTCAGTGGAGAAGTTCCAGACACAGAGATAACAATCACAGTGGAAGACAGAATATTAGCTTCAAAATAGTAAATAAAAGTCCTTTTAATGATGCCAATGTCTCTTAACTGCTCCCTCAGATGCTGCTCTCAGAACTCTCACTCCCACATAAGTCCATGCAGTGAGCACGGGTGGGCCCTTCCCTGAAGAAGCTGCATTGGCAGAGACTGGCTCCCCACATTGTGTGTCCACAGTGACATGGCCAGCACACTGCCAACCCACTTGGGGGAGGTGGCATAGGCTAAGAGGAATGAGTGGTGTTAAGTCTTAGGGATGGTAAGTCCATACCCAAGCACTGACAGGTTCTGCTTGCTGAAGGTCCTCACTGCATCCTGAGTCTGTACATTGCTAACCCTAACCCTACCTGGTCTTCTTAATTCTGTTCTCGCTTCCAGTGTGCTCTGTACTATACACCACCACAAACAGAACAAAGAAGTTAAGTGAAAAGCACAGTTGATCAATAAAACATACAGAAAGGTATAGAGATTCAGCAAGTTTATTTCATAACAAAGTTTTGTCACAATCCAAGTGTTTTTACTTATTTACTTAAGGCTTGTAAATAAAAATGACACATATGAGTATGTGGGTCTGTTCATGTGCATGCATCTATCCATTTATCTGTCAGTCATCTGTCTCTCCTTGAGTAGCACTCCAAACACCTTTATATGTTTATAAAGATAATACCCTTATTATTTCAAGGTAGGAAAACAACAATCATATAAACAGTGGTAAATCCACTAAATTAAAATTTTCCAAACAATAAAATTCATCATGATAAATTATATTTTCAATGCAACCCTTAAAACACTAATTAAGGATTTGTATCCAGAACCTATAAAAAGCACATTTAAATCAATAACAAAACAAAAGCCAATCAGTAGAAATAAGTGCAAAGGCTATTAAGAATAGAACAGGAAATCTTAAATTCTAATAACTATAGGAGAAGTCGCTCAGCCTCAGAAATAATCTGGGAAATGCCAATTAAAACAATGAGGAGATGCCGTGTCACAAACATCAGATTGTTGACAATTTGAAAGAAGAGTAACAGAAACTCTACACAGTAGTGATTTAGAATCAATTGTTTTCGTGTGAAAACAGTTTGGCAATAACCACTAACAGCTGAGATACACATTCCCACAATGCAGTGATTCCAAAGCCAGGGGAATACTCTGAAAACGTACACAGATGCACGCCAGGAGAGAGGGGCCCAACTGCAGCACTGCACGAATAAATTAGATTTCTCCACCCAGGGCCACACACACCTTAGTTAAAGTCTGTGCACTGTGGACGCATTTATCTGTCACCCAGTGCTCTTTATCTCCCACCCTCTCTCGCAGCCATTTCTCTCTCTGCCTCTCCTGCTGAGCTCAGATCTACCTTACTGGTCTCTTCAGTGCTGTGACCCACTATTTAACCCAATCAATGACTTTCTAACAGCCAAGCCTATTTCACTGACAAAAGCACCGTTTGGACTTTCTGGCGAGTACCATATATTTTCTCACATTTCCTGTCTTTACTCAGTGTTCCTCATCATTTCAAAACATCATTTCCCACAGCCTCTGACTGCCGGCTCTGCATTTGAGGTTCTTGGAGACCTGGCCATGTCTGATGTCTGTGAAATCTCCCTAGTGAGGGGTGCTTTGCTCCTCCTTCATTTCCTGCCCTCACGGTGTGCACTCCCTTGAGGAAGGGCTTGAGCTGGAGGTCCCTCTTTTTAATGTTCCCCAAGGGGCAGGGACACCAAGAGTATCACCACCTCAGACCACACTGTAAATTCCTTTCTTAATTTGAAGTTCTAGGATATTTTAGATGTTATAAAGCCACAGGAATTCATAGCCCATGGACACAACATCATAGTGAAATTGTATTTTCTCCTCACTCAGAGGCCAGGAGAAGACGATTCTGTGGGACCAAAGAAAAGAAGGAAGGCAAGAAGAACATGACACACAGACCCGGAACGCCGGTGCCGGGGGGCCTCCAAGGGCCTAGAAGTAAACATTTCTTTACTGCTGTAATTTTTTCCTGGATTAAAAATCTTGATTAGCCCTTGTCTTATTTTGTGAAAAAGACAGATAAGCAAATATCTTTTAAAAACGTTGAAAACACCACAAATGTCATATACTTGCATGTGTCTGCTTGCCCATGCATACATCTTACACTAAAAATTATCTAGGAAATTTTTGCATGAAAATGTCTGCAGTGGTTTTACCTACACTGATACATACAAAAAATGTACATAGTAGGCTTCTAATGTGTATATTTTCTCATCTGTATTTTCATTCACTAGTATATGACCAATACTTTCCTCTTGTGGTGTGTATTTTTGTGTGTTTTATCAATACTTGAATAGTGTTCAATTATAAAACATGGTATACACCATAACTTGTCACACAAATACCCTATTGTTGGACACTACTGTTGTTTGCATTTTTACAATTACATAGCACTTCATGAAGTCTCTCATACAGATGATTTTGCAAAATGGCTTGAAACTTTTCAAAACTATCTGTACTATCTCTTGCAGAAATGTTGCACCCACAAATAGTGGGAACCCCATTTCCTATGCCACAGACAACGTTGTGTATGACATGTCTGTCAATATCTCTACTTCTTCACCTCTGTTCCCAGAAATTAAAAGCCACTACACACATGACCCCCGTGTTCCTTTGCAGGCTCCCCTTGGTGACTCCACAGGTACTGAGTTAATTCCAGTTGGGATCAAACATTCTGTTCCTGAGCTTCCAGCTTTGAGCACATTTCACCCCTGCCCGACACCTCCCCACTCGCTACCAAGTGAATCCTACCCAAATCTGGCTCATCCCACTAGGTGCCTACCCAAGATCCATCCCCTATTTTACTCCTTAATTTGTGGAGCCCCAGTTTGGGGGGAAAGTAATGTGACTGGATGAAACAGTTTCCCAACGTCACTCAAAACTTAGAGGTGGTCCAGTTCTGGCCAACAAAATGTTCAACGTCTCTGAGAAGATGTACCTTTCAGTTAAAAAGACAAAGTATTGAGAGAAAACATCTTTTTGCTCCTTGCCTCAGGCTCTTCTTTCTGCTTGTAACTCAAACACGGGGCCTGAGGGTGCAAGTGTGTTTATACGGTCATAGGACAAAAAGGTCGAGAATGAGAGCTCATACTAAAGACTGTGGAGCAGAAAGGCAGCCGGCCAGGGGCCCAACCTCCCACTTTGATCATGCTTTTCCTTCTCTTGTTCTTCCAGATCAAAGCGGAACGTGATTTCCCCCACCCCCTGCAGCTGACCTCTGCGTGTCTCCCCACTCCTGTATGCCCACACTCCTACTCAAAATAGTATGTGCGCCTTCACTGCAGCCCCTTCATCCAATCATGCAGGTTTCTCTCACCTGTCAGGCAAGAACCTCCCTCAAATGAGTCCTGATGGCACCACCGAGCTGCCACACTGCCAAACTGCTTGTGGCTGAGAAATAGCCCATCTTATGAGCCCACGACTGAAAAGATTTCCTCTTTTTTTGCACCAAATCTCCTCTCATCATCCTTTATGTGAAGTGCAATTTCCTCCAGGAATAAGTCCCTTCTCAATGTTCCCAGTTCTCTCGTTGCCTGCATCCCCCCGATTGTAAGGAGCCTCTCTCTGCATGTCTGTCAGTCTGCTCCTCTCTCTCTTTGTTTACAGTTTTGTAACTGTCACCAGAAAGGGACTATAATCTCCTGTGGTATTATCAATTGATCATTAGGATTGTATTTCTAGAAAAGTACCAGTTCAGAAGAATTATGAACACATTAAGATTGACTTAAAACCATAAATGAAACATTCATTGAATATAAGCAAACATTTTGGAAACCTATTATCGAATACTTATTCCAGCTTTGCAAAGATGAATAATAGTAGTGAGTATAACAATGCATCAGAATAATGGCCTAAAAGAAAACATTTTACGTATACATCAAAGTAAATGCAAAATTGGCAGAATTTAACAATAATGTGTGTTTGGTTTTTTTAAAATTTCAGAAAACCAGGAATAAGTGGCGATTTTTACATCTATTAGGAATTTTATACCAAAACCTACCTCTAACATCGCAGTTAATTTAAAAGCACTTGAGCACATTCATTGTACGACCGTGGAAAAGGAGGCCGAGCCCCATCGCCGACAGAGCTAATGGCTCTCTCAGGGGCCAGGCCCCTGCCACGAGACAGGAAAAACGTGGCTGATGCACAGTTCAAAATCATGAAATAATTAATAGGATGCGTGATCACCTTAATGTATTATTGTCATTGTACAAGGAGGCTGTTAAACGTAGCATTGTTATATGAGTATATATTTTTAAGACAGCGTTTTTACCTGACCAATTTACTGAACTCTAATCAGTACTCATTTGATACACTCAGTTGTTCAACAACTGTTTTACAGCCCATTGCAAGCACATGACACTCCTTTCAGTTAGGCTGGAGATGATGGTGAACTGATTGGAGAAGTGTTTGGAAGGAAAAGCCATGGAATTTAATCCAAGGAGTTTAATGACTGACTAGATGGGGAAGGTGAGAGAGGGGAGCTTTCAAGGATGCCTCACGCGTTCTGGTTGAAACAACCAAGCCGATGGAGGAAATGCCAACAATTATGTGCTGTTGTTTTTTCTTGTTTTCTTGTCTATTTTATAAGGACACAAGAGAAGGATTTCCATGCTAAGGAGGAAACACTGGCTGGTGAAGTAATGACTGGCCCTGGGCACACGGGTGGCCTTTGAAGCCGTGCGTGAGCCGAGGACATGGCCCCCGAGAGCAGGGGTGCAGCTCACGCCTGCTCCCTCTCCGCAGTGGGAACCGCTGGCCATTTCTGTCTCCACACCAGGAGGACAACTGCAGGAACTGACTGGAAAGTAACCGCCCATGTGAAAATCAGGTTGGCTTTTGGCAAGACATTTAAAAGACAAATTCTATCCACCACATAAATCAACTTGACCAGCAAAGTCCATTTGTTGAAGCAGATTTAAATTTTTTAATTGAATTGAAAACAAACACCAGGATTGTAAAGAGAACTGGCATCGCGTTGCCTAAGAATCAGTTTAAAGCACTCGCGTTAATTTAGTTAGGTTGTGAGTATTAGTCAAGTCCATACTTCCACAGTAGTTAGGTAAAGGGGAGATTATGTTGTCAGAGGCTACTTTGTGTGGCTCTGAAGGCCAAAGCCCAACAAGGTCGATTTATTAGAGGGGCTAACTGCCAGCTTAATTTGGGGAAAAAGAAATCCCCTTTTTGTGGGAATGCTTAAATTTGAATGACTATCATTCAACAATGTTTTCCTGTGATTTATGTATTAGGTGAACTAGGACAGATGGCCTCTGAGGTGCCTGCCAATTTGAAGACTGTATAATTCTAAATAAGCAGTCTAAAATGAAAAGTAACCCCCACAACTGTATGTGGGATCGCTAATATTTTGCACTTGCAGCCTACAAAACACACTTCGTCTAACTCCATCATCACAAGAGCTTCTCAGCATTGCAGGATGGGTATTTTTGCTGCCCTGTTTATAGGAAAAATGACAAGAAGAAGGATTGCTTGAGTTGGTCATTGTGTAGTTTGGTCATTGCTGGCTTGAAGATGGGTGATTATTAGCACATCTCAGCCATTTATCCCTCATGGATAAGCTATAACATGTATTAACGTCAGAAAGTAGGCATATTCTGACATACTTAGAGTTTGGCTACTCAGAAATAAAAGATAGATTACCACATTTGCAGAACTATGAGCACCTCACAGCTGTTTCCATTTAGCAATTCCCTGTCCTCCAGTGCCACCGTCTCTTCAAACTTCTCATCTTTACAGTTTCCCCATCATCTTCCTCAGTGCCCCTTTCATGTCTTTATTACGCAGGGTGTAGATGAAAGGATTTAGGGTTGGAGTGACAATGCCATAGAGCAAGGCCATGACCTTGTCCCGGTCCTGAGAGGTGGCAGAAGAGGGCTGCAGATAGGAGGCCGCAGCGGTGCCGTAGAAGAGGAACACCACAGCCAGATGGGAGGAGCAGGTGCTCAGGGCCTTCTGCCAGCCCTGGATAGACCTGGTCTTCCAAACAGCCTGGGCGATGCAGCCATAGGAGCCGAGGATGAGAGTGAGGGGTGCCAGGAGGAAGAACACACTGACCAGCAGGAGCTCCGTCCGATTGAACGTGGTGTCCACACAGGCGAGTTTGAGGAGAACCGGCACTTCGCAGAAGACATGATCTATGACGTTTCTTCCACAAAGCGGGACCCGTGTGGTGAGCACAGTCTGCACCAGTGAGCTGGCCAGGCCAGTGAGCCAGGTTGTGGCCACCAGCTTCCAACAGGTGCGTGGGCCCAAGAGGACAGTGTAGTGCAAGGGCCGGCACACTGCCACGTAGCGGTCCACAGCCATGACCGCGAGGAGCAGGCACTCAGTGGAGCCCATGGCCAAGGCCACATAGAGCTGAACAACACAGCCACCATAAGTTATCGTCTTCTCTGGGCTATACAGGTGAGCCAGGAGCTGAGGAGCCGTGCTGGTGGTATAGCAGAGGTCCATTAAGGACAAGTGGGTGAGGAAAAGGTACATTGGGCTGTGGAGCCGGGGATCCAAGCGAGCCAGAACAATGATGGCCGCATTGCCCAGCAGGGTGAGCAGGTAGAAAACCAGGACGATGGCGAAGAGGGCCGCCTCCAGCAGCGGCTGCTTGGAGAAGCCCAGCAGAAGAAATCCATCAAAGAAGCTGATGTTGGGAATGACCATCACTTTTCATCACATTGCTGCTAAAAGAGAAAAACGTACTGGAGTAAGAAAATACGTGAGATGGGTGAGAAATCTGCGCTGTCCCCACCTCGAGGACTCGGAGAGCACATTTTCTTTTCAAACTGTGAACAGTCCCTTCAAGTTTGAACCTCATGAATGCCTACACTCTTCCTTTCCCTGCCTTCCCCGGGAGTTTGGTCCTTTACTTATTTTATGTATTTACACTGTAAATTTGATTTCTTCGCTTCTTTACCTCTACCTTCAAACATGCACAGGTCTTCTTCCCTGTTTTGCAAGTTGCCGCTGCTGTTGAAACTTCTTTTCCCCTGCTGCTCTCAATACCTCCCACTGTCATGGCCCAGCAGACACTGTAACAATATGATTCCAGTGTATCAGTATTATCTGAGGGGCCCCACCCCTGACTTCGCTGCTGAAAGCTCTCTCCTCCCACACTGCTCCAGTCCTCCCTTGATAAGTTTATGCGCACCATCTATTATTAACCACTTTCTAAATGTACTCAATATCCTAAATTTGTCTTCTGTGCTTTTGTCTCACTGAAAAGGACTCACAAAACTTAGAAATAATCTCTTAACAGTAAGCCCTGTGAGCTGACTCCCTTCCGCTCCATCTCATTACTCTGAGCAATAAACCATGTTGTCATGTTTTATTTTTAAAACTCTACCTATTATGAGATTCTAAGTGTATTTTGTTCTTTCTGCACTATGGGAACTCTTGCCTCTTCTAGATTGAGTTTGTTCCTCCTCCTCTTTGCCACTCGGGTCATTTCCTAATTTTTCAGACTCATTTTCTTCTTTCTTCTGTCAAACTGCTCATGTTTCTCACCTAATCACACCATGCCCCTCGGCTGTGTCTTTAGTTGATTTTCTCAGTTCTGACTGTGGAACTCTTTTCTGGTGTGCCCATGTGCACCTGTGTGTGTTAAAACCCCACCATGAATTCACGAGTCTAAGAGTGGGTCCAGGTACCCACCACCACACAGCACTTTGTGATGCTGTTTGAACAGTAGTGTGTCTCCCCTCTCAGACTCCTTGACTGAAATGCAGCATCGTATTTGAAATCACCCTTCCCCTCTCCTGTCCTGAGCAGCCCTGCCTCCGCACGTCACTGAGACTCAGATCCCAGTAATTCACTGAAATGTTGAACATGCCTCTTTATCGCGATTCTTTCCAGACTGCAATCTTCCGAAGTTCCTCAGTTCTTGGCAGATTGAGATAAAAACTTCAGAAGTTTTAATATGTGCCTCTCTCTGTGAGCTTCTAGTGTTTTTTGTCTTCACTAGTCATTTTGATCGATCACACACAGACTTGCATGTAGAGTATCTACACTTTTTCAGGTTGGCTTTATTACACATACTATAAGCACTGGAAGAAAAGAGAAATACATGTGTTCCAATGGCCTCACAGCCAAAGCTTGCAAATAAAACAGAAATGCTATTAAAATGCAAGCTGATTGCCTGATTAACTGAGTGCCGAGGTCTAGTTCTTTCCTTTCCTAGACGAGATGTTTTCTCATTCTCAGCCCTCTCCTTAGGGTTCTGCCCACTGAGCTCACCCATGTCCCAGCATCGCCCATTGTTTCTCAGATAACCCACAGGTGCATACACACGTTCGTGCACAAACAGCACACACGCACACACACCTCACCCCTGCCCTCCAACCTCACATTTTACCTACTCTTAATCCACTTTAGGAATAAAATAATGATTAAAAGACTCATGTCTCCTCATTGTTTTGACTCAATATTGTGTTTTGTTAACACCGAACGAAGCAGGAGTGAAGGCACTGTCTCAGCTGCACACACTGAAAGACATTTGCCCACAGTGACTTTCATCCTGAACCTGGGTAAGAACCTCGGGTGTGTGGCACCGTGCTCGGGGCTTTGTCAGAACAGTCCACCTGCCAGATTTTGACTGTCAAGCAAATTCTTTAAACGTGATTACAACACAGAAGAATGGAAGGACAGTCAGCCACTTTAAACATCAGTCATGTCGGTGTAGTCACAAGGAAAGCCACCTATATTTTGCTTTCTTAATAGCATTTTAAAAGAATTAGTTTATACTTTCTGGAAATTTAATCTAAATATAAGTGTGCTATACAATATTTTTGACACAATAACACATTTGCATGCTGGAAGAGCACAGAATTATTTGACATGTTTGCATCAACTCCAAATTATTTTTCAAGTTAGCACTTCTTCTGTGACATAAGATTAATAGATTGGTAGTTCTGTAAATAATTCATTTAGTCAATCCACATAAGAGAAATATGTGTCTGCCTGGTAAAAATACTGAAAAACAATCATATCCACTGCCCTTAAATCTGATTAACAACAGGACACTTTATTTAATTACATATTTATTCAATAGAAAGGAGCACAGCGATTGCCTTCCTCCCTGCAGAGTCTTTGCCACAAAATCGACACACACTGCACCTGGGGGCTACTGTGGGCGCTGCCGCTGGCACCATTTACCTGAGGGCAGAGAGCAGAAACCGCAGGGAGCCGGAAGGGAGAGGACTCTTCTTTTTCTCTGAAATGAGGAGGGCTGAGAAAGTCACAGAGAGGACTGCGTGGTGTGTTTACTCGGCTGGACCACTGGGGCAAAGGGTCCCAAGGAAGCAATTAACACTTGTGTTCACTAGTGTGCAGTTAGGCAGAACCTACTTAGGGAAAGAAGGCCCAGGGGGCAAGATATTTTGTCAGTCTGCTTTTATTACTGACTGAGAGATTATTTGTAGTGTTCAGCTTTCAAATAAGATGACTAGTAGGATGGGGCACCAACTACGTTGAGAAGCACTAACATTTTTCAAACCTCTGCTGAAAATTCATCTTTTCCTGATGTTCTCCCAACTGCTCTCTCCCCAATCACTCTGAATAAAGATTGAAATGTAAATGGTCTCACTAGAAGGCTCGTGTAGGTACATATCATTGATTATTAAACTATGGAACTAGGTTTGCCAAAATCATTAAAATCCAAACAAATTAATATGCAAATTAAGCTTAACTACAACGCTGAAGTTGATCAGCAAACATAACCTCAAACGACACCAACTTTTAGACAAAAACCATGTTGGAAGACCATGGGGATGGTCTCCCTCTCCTAGAGGGGTATAAATTGAGAAGAGACCATCAGGAATTCTAGGAACACGTGTGTGCACGTGTGTGCACACACATCTACAAGGCTGAGCTCCAATGTCACTTTCCCACAAGACCTCCCTGGGCCTCCTCATCACAGACACTCTTCACTTACTTGCTCAGGGACACACCACCCCAAGTGTTCCTGCCTTCTGGAACTTTCTGTGCTCTCACTCCTGGTTGTAATCGTTTGACTGCAGACCTGCTCCTCTGTGCAATCACAAACTCCTGCAGAGCTGTGGCTGAGCACGTGTCTCATTTTTCAAATTTGCAGCTCATTTGGATTATTTTGCCTTTAGTTTCATGGAAATATTGTTGCATTGAAAATAGATAAGTGGCACAAAGCAACCCCTCATGTTTTTAAAAGAGTTAGTTTATGTTTAGTGTTATTACTTATTTTGATCAATATTATTATGTACAATATTAGGTCAATATGTTTAAACCTAAAAAGGATAACTGCCTAGAAAGTAAAATAAAATTTCCAAAGTGGATTTAGTAATAGGGAGCTTAAAAAATAACAATAGAATTTAAATCTTTAGTGGAACATCTGCCACATCCACTAAAAGCAAATGTAGTAGTCTGGAAGCTCAGTTAAAAAAACAAAACAAAACAAAACAACATTCAGAAAGGGCAGATAAAGTGCTTCCCAGATAAGGTCAAGTTAAAGGAGTTCATCATCACCAAGCCCTTATTATATGAAATGTTAAAGGGACTTATCCAAGGAAAAGAAGATAAAAAATACAAACAGTAAAATGACAACAAACTCACAACTATCAACAATTGAACCTAAAACAAAAAAAAAATGAACTAAGCAAACAACTAGAACAGGAACAGAACCACAGAAATGGAGATCACATGGAGGGTTATCAGTGGGGAAGGGGAGAGGAAATGGGGGAAAAGGTGCAGGGAATAAGAAGCATAAATGGTACATAGAAAACAGACAGTGGGAGGTTAAGAATGGTATAGGAAATGTAGAAGCCAAAGAACTTAAGTGTACTAATCATGGACATGCACTGGTGGGGGAATGCAGGTGGGAGGGGGTGTGCAGGGTGGAGGAGAATAAAGGGGGGGAAACTGGACAACTGTAATAGCATAATCAATAAAATATAATAAAAAAACATTCAAGTGCAAAGAGTGATTGGCTGCACCAAATGCTGCTTCCACACTTAGTGAAACTTTCAGGAAGACATTGATTTAGCAACAAGATGTCAGTGTAGCGATTTTGACAAGAGATGTATTTTCACATGACCGTTTCTTTTAGGTATATACCCAGGATTGGAATTGCTGGGCTGGCCATAGGTAGGTGTGTGTTTTAAATTTATTAGAAACCACTATCCAGTATTTCAAATTGTTTTACCCTCGCATCAGCAAGTATTCTGAAGTTCCAGTTGCTCTATCTCTTTGTCAATATTCAGTGTTATAAAGCTTTTAAATTTTAGCCATTTTCGTCAATGTGTACTTTGTCTTGCTGTGAGTTTAATTTGATTTTCCTTGATGAGCTGGTATTGAGCAACTTCTCACATACTTCTTAGCCATTTGATTATTTTTTTTTTGCAAAGTTCCTGTTCCAGTGTTGGTCCACTTTTAAAACTTGGATCGTTGGCTTTTTGTTAGTGAATTTTAGAAGTTCTTTCTAAATTCTGAATCCTGTTTTTTTTTTCAGATCTGTGTATTGCGAATATTTTTTCCCAGTCTATACCTTGCCTTTTCACCCCTTTATTTAACTTGGAATTCTATACTTGGTCAAACTCCCCAGCGAGTATGAGATCAAAAGTAAAGACCTTTTTCAGGTGTACATAACATGTCTCAGGATCTCCTAAGATCCTTCCTGGAGAAGTTATTCGGGG